ATTATTCTTGCCACATTCGACTGTGATTGGTCAATTTCTTACGGCTTAAGACTCAAACTTAGGTATAATGACTTATTGTAGAAAGTCTATTATATATTACTAATTACAACGGCTATAAATAAGGTTGGAGAACGTTGGGTGACATTTTTGCTTTTTTTCATTCAATACAAGCTGAAGAAGCTACATTTAGAGGGGTGTTCATAGTCCGTTCTTATTTTAAGACCGTCTTAAAATGTTAAAACAATCGTCTGATTAGCTGACATTTTAAAACTGCATTTAAGATAGTCTCAAATGTAAGAATCGACTATGAATATCAGCCTTGTGCCTAAATTCTAAGCAGAATCGTAAGGCTCGTAACATATTCCTGTAAGATTTGTAAGAATTTTTAAGCGCTTAATACCTTTATACAATATTTTTGCAGACAGCTTCTTACTAGCCATAAAATTTACGAGAAATCGTAGATATTTACGAATAATCGTACGTCTTACGATACATTCGCATAAAATTAGTACTAGTTATAAGTTCTTATACAAGTTTTACGAGAACACGTTAAGAGTCTTACGATTCTGCTTAGAATTGACCCATTAATCTAATTCTATTCGAAATCGTAACACAGCGTACACATTCCGTTCCAATTGAGTCATGCACAATGCTATACTCTGTGAATTCCTATACGTACATTTATATCAAGATGTAATAAGCAATTGAAAAGCACTCTATTTTGCGTATCCCGAACTGTTTTGAGCTACGCGATACCATCTTTGACTCCGGGCCTCCATTTTCCCAACTCGCCACGTATACGCGTCAGCGCGTAAGATATCAGCGGAGGCGCGGGGCGAGATCGCTACGCATCCGGGAGGGCCGAAAATGAGGACGGGAGGGCCGAGAGGACAGGATCGTACGCTGATAACAGTGATACGCTACAGCAGCGTTGCGGCCTGCGATCGATCGCAGTGAAGCCGCGATGAATAGCTGCACGTTGCGGTAGGGCTGTGTGTATCGGGAGTCACTCTTTGCGTTACACGTTTGTTCGATCCATTCAGCCGAAAAGGGAAAAAAGGGTCAGATCGACCGATGAGGTGTGGGGATTGAGGGACGGGGGAGACCTTGGAGGCTGCCATTGCGTTTCGTAACTTAACCTTTCCATTTTGCCGCCTCCCAATCATCCGTCCATCCCTCCCTCTCCCTCCCCCCCTCTCTCTCTCTCTCTTGCCTTTTTCCTCGCTCCCCCGCCTCCTCCTTCCCCGAGCCCTCTGGTCCCTCCGGTCAAACACGCACGATTCCTCCAAGAATTGGAGACTTGCTCCAAATCGCCGTATCCCCTTTCGCATCCTTCCAGACCATTGGACTCTGCGATCCTCCCCGGGTCGTGACGATAATTCGAGGCGCGAGCGAGTACCCGGGCTCGGGGGACTAATTGGAACGCTTAATTATTTTCCGAGGAGCGTTCGTTCGAGCCCATCATAATAACGGTTTAATAACGCGCCCTGCGTGCGGAGGGAAAGACAAACTTCGTTTTCTAGGACAGAGATTCGGGCAGTGACATTCCTCGAATTATGAAACTTCGAACAATCTAGACCGTGTGCCACGATTCCGTCGCGGTACTCTCGCGCGAAATGAAATTCGCGAATTTTCCAAGAATTTCGGCGCCGCATGGCTCGCACCTCGATACACTCGGGAGACGTAGTTATGCGTGGTAATCATCGATAAACACGAGACCCGGGCGATGGATCGGCGATTTCTTGGGCGGCGCAGATGGCGCGATACCTTTCCCAGAAGCGTCCCGCTTCCTGACCGGCACCGTTTTGCGTTTCTGCATGTTTCAGGGGCGTATCTACCCCGCAGCTTCGTTCCCGTCCGCCCTTTCTCTTTATGCCAATGATCCTCCTCACCGAGCTCTCTTCCTCTCCTCTCTTTCTCTGTCTCTTTCTCTTTTTCTCCTTCAGGGCCCGTCCGGCCACTCTCCTCTCCTTCTCTCTCTTCCGGCTTACGGCGTCTTCGCGCGTACGAGTGCCTTTGTTCCGGCGCGCGGTCCTTTGTGAATTTCATAGTCAGCTGCACGAGACCGTGTGTGCTGCCCCGCGGCCCCGTTTACATTTTCTAGGATGCCACGGCCCACTATTTTTAGGCGCAGTCCGCCGAGGAGGAGCCGGCGCGGTTCCATACGTAACACGCGTACATCGTGTTTTTCTTTCGCCGCGACTGATATCATCATTCGCTTGTATTTTTGGCGCGTGTAATGATAAATGTGGTCGTTTATTCCACGCGTCAAGTTGACATCGAACGCAGTTTGTGTATCGAACGAATAAATCTCGGAATCGTGTAACGTTGCATAAGTGACACTATATAGATAATAAATGCACTGTAAATAACAATTAAGAAAAATGACCGAGAATAATAATTGAAAAAAAGAAAGATTTCTCATAAGCCACGAACAATGGAAGGAAATCTCGAAAAATCGATTTTTTTGTACGAAATGCATCGTACATTTACACAGAAAAATACGTACTATGCATAATAAATACTAATTATATACTTGTTTCAAGTTATTTGAAAAGTTCATATAACCGCAAATCTATATTATAAATTCATCACAATTTATTCAAAATATTCTAAATCCTAGTAAATTTAATATATATATTTCAACCAAAATTATTAAATTAAAACAAATATATTTGCTTATTATATAAAATCGCTTCAGTTTTATAATATTCTTTAAAAAAAAATTAATTCTTGTTTTGAATACGTAATAATTGAATACGTTCCAGTATGAGTTCTTCTAAAATTTGTAATAAATATATTTAAAATTATTATCAAGAAAATATTCTTTGTTCTAGATAACTATTATTTAAAAGGAAGAAAATAAATTAAGTAATCACTTTTCTTAGCAACAGAATGACATTTTTCTGTGTGTACGTGAATGCGTGCATCACTTATGCCGACGATTATTTATGCGTTGAACGTGGCAACAATTTTTACGATGCTCTAGCGTGTGATTGACGCGTTCCAGTATGATTCTTCTCATCTTTCCCTTCCATCTCTCGTGACACCTGAATCGCTGTAGCGAGGAATCCTTTCGTTTAAGAGAGAAGCCCCGATGATGGGCGGTCCCCTCTTTTTTTTCTCCTTCGAACCCTCCACCGAACTGTTTCCGATTAATCTATATAATTTCGGTAATGACACAGTGTGTCACGCGCAGCCCGTTGGTGAATGGCCCCCGTTCAACTACTTGCTCGTGAAACGCAAACGCAAATTTCGGCCAATTCATCGACTGTGATTCAGCATAGAATTACGTTAGAACTTATTATTATTGTTAAACGCACGCGTGTGCAATGCTGCTGTTAAGGACCGATGATGTCACGGTGACCCGACGTTTGAGAACATCGCCGCATCTCTTTGGGATTAGACAAAGAGAAATCTCGTGTGTGTTAACAGGCGACGAGACTAACGCGCTTCTCATTCGGAGGCACGTCATTGATACAGTGCGGAGTCTCTCCGACTTCACAATGAGCTTCTTGCTTATACATTGGGATGAAGTTCGAGGACGGTGTCACGGCCATCTCCCATATAACGTTAGCTATTTCAATGCTAACAGCAATTTTAATTTTTATCACGCAAGTTCCATGTTGTACCATCTAACAGTACTTTTCATACATTGGATAGCAAAAATTATTCTTATTCCTATCTTTTTTCTGTGGCGATAAATTATATAAAAACATTATGACATACTTTTAGAGAACGGTATATCTTTACGTATCATAATTTATATCGATCTTGAATCGAAGCAGCATTTAATTATGTGTCACGTTTCTCTCGAGGAATGTTTTTTTTAAATGCTTAATGTGCATATTTAAGCATTTAGTTCAGCCTAATATTATAGCACAGTTTATAACTTAATTTCACTACTTCAACAATGTAAAAACGTCAGCTTTAGAAATAGTTTAACAATATATAAACGGAACATATATTGTACTATTATAATACGTCGTTACGTATTGCGTAGCAAGAAAAGTATCATACAATAAAGGTCTGAAAAATTGCGACTACATCGGATTTAGTGTAACAAGAAATATGCGGGCTGCGTTATATATGACAAAAGGTCTATTCGCGTTGCTAACACTTTTTACACTTGTCAGCATCTTCGCCTTTTCTCTCTTCAACGTTTAAATATATATTTATTTCATTTTAAGCACAAATATTTGTGTAGATTTCAAGCAACGCGAACAGAGCTGAAGATCGTTTGTCGGCCGCGATCGGTTTTGCGCGTTCGCGCGTAGCGAGGAGGCCGAACCGACGCGGCGATTGCTGTAAATGGTACTTCTGGCACAAATTAATCGGATTGGACGGGAAGTATATTAGAGCCCGAGGTTGGCCTTGCACGCGCCAACAATCTCGAAGGCATTGGCCTAATGCTCCATCGTGAATCGTTCGCCTCAGCCTGAACTTTGTTTTCTTCTCGCCGATGGGATTAATGGCGAAACGCGGTTGCGCACTGGTTGAAAAAAATTATGTATGTGTGTAAAGGAGAGAGAAAGAGAGGGAAGAAGAGAAGCTAAGTTGCGCAATCTGCATTCAGTCTTCCTTCCACGAAGGTTTCGTTGCGGCATTATACATGCGCGTTTATACGCAGAACACTATGATTAGCTCATAGGCTTACGTGTCAATTAAATCGGGCAATCGTGGAAAAATTTTAACTACATTCGAAAAAAATAAAAGTTTTTTTTATGCTAGGTCTTTTATGTAATATATCACGCTTGAGACCGATGTATATCACGTTTGAGACAATTCCGTGAAATATTTTTTTGTGTCTATTAATATTTTTAACCGCCACGTACATGAGCGACGCTTATACTTTTTTTGAAAATTATAGCGTTCTTATTTACTGTCTGTTTACGGCTAATAGTAATTTAGCCGTAAACCAACTAAATAAACGTAGGTATGATCTACTTACGATTTATTTAACGGACTGGATTTGTAAACAAAGATTTCTATTTTTCCAGGTAGGAAATTAAAGTGTCCCTTCTGCGAGAGACTGTACGGCTACGAGACGAATCTACGCGCTCACGTGCGGCAACGTCACCAGGGCATCAGAGTGCCGTGTCCGTTCTGCTCGCGGACGTTCACCAGGAACAATACCGTCAGACGGCATATTGCGCGAGAGCACAAAGTCGAGATCAGCATGAAGGACTTGCAGCAGTCCAACGATTCGGTCTCGGACACTGTGCTCCAGTAACAATGTCTTCGGCGTCGCTATCACTCTCGCCGTCGTCACCGCGGTCACCGTCGTGGTCCACGTGCGGTGGTACCGGAAGCAACAGTTCCGGTGACCACTTCGCCAGAGCCGACCGCGAGACTGGACCGCGGTTAGATCGTACGAGACGAGAGGAGAGGCTGCAGTTAAGTACCTTCGTTTTCCCTTCGTCGTCGTCAGCGAACGCCGTCCCGATTCCTCGTCGCGAGAGCGATCTCTCCGCGTGCGCGCCTGGAATCGTCGAGAAATCATATACGAGGGGCACGACTATGAAGATTCGTATGGGGCAAAGAAACATGGAGGAGGCACGGAACAACGATGCGCACGGCGCCTCGAGTACGCTCGCGAAAACGCTGCGAATCACAAAGCTAGTCAATGAAAGTGCAACGGTCAAGTAAGGATTATTAACTAGGAGCTTTTTAAACGAGAGACGAGAGATAGCGGGTGAAGGTAACGACCTGAGCGGCGAATATGGCGCATAAACACGTACACGCAGAGCCGTTATAGCGCAGGCGACTGCGACGAGAGAACCAATGCAAACTCAGGTAAACTTAAATCGTGGCACGAACAAACGCCAGGAGAAAAACGCTACCTTTTCATAGTTCAACGTAGATCGGATTACTCGCCGTCGCATTTTAATCGTTAACGCATTTTAATCGTTAACCGGTTTACCTGTTTCTGATACTACTATCGCTGTTGAGAAGTCGAGCCTATAGGATCGCGACGTTCCGATGGGCGATACCTATCTACGTTACGTTTACGCGCGCACCAGTGCCAAAGACAAGACGCTTTTTCTACTCTGGAGTAATTCACACGTCTATTTTCAGTTTCGCCTTTTCATACATCCGCGTACAACCCGCACTCCACTATTATAATATAATAATCGCGTTGGAACCCACATATCCGAAATCGCGCCGAGACGACACCCGACGAAGTACACACATTTTATACAGTTACGATTTTATATAACGTTTACGAGAGATTACTGCGATTTTAGGGCGGACGACTGTCGTGCGATTAGCCGTGGGAGAGTCACGCAGCTGTTCACGCAAAGATACTTCTTGGCGAATGCGTGGACCTAGCACGTCGACCGAGCAATAATCACGTTGATACATCATTGTACTATGTCGACATCGATCTTTCTGGAAAAAAAATGATAATAAAAAGAAAAAAAAACGAACGCATTCACCATGGAAGTTCGTCGCAACGGCTGCGATGCCTCGCGGCGAAACGATCACTACCACTTTGTTACCTGTTTACAATGTTTAAAATGCGGACTTTTGTCCGGAGCAATAGTCGCGTACCGTGAATATAGAGTATAGCCATCGATCACACACGTGTGATCTTAAACAGTGCGCGCGGTTACGCGCGAAATAGTTGCTATCCCGGTTGTATGAGATGTGATCAATGCAATAGATTTATATTACACATTACCTATATGTATAGATATATAGAGATATACTCCTAGTCAGGATGGCACCCACGATATTACTTGTTACAGTATTTACACTTTATACAGATTAATCTGTCTTATTTTTGTTCCGTTTACTTGTTCTCCCTTTCGTTTATTTTTTTTTTGTTCTTTCGCAGAAAGTTTTTAAACGGTTATTCTCACAACGATACCCGCCTACCGTAAGTTATCAGAGACAATAGAGACGATATAGAGAATTATTTAGTATTTAAAGCGCGTCGTGCGCGAGCTGGGGATATAATGGTACACGAGATAGAAGCCGAAGAGAGTTCATTTCCGTTCTTTTATATTTTTATTTTTATTTTAGTTTTTCCTTTATCTCTTTTCTTCTTCTTTTTTTTTCCCGTTTTCTAATAACATTCAACATGCCAAATATATACGTGAGCACTCGTCGCGCACGCGCGCGCATAACTCTGCCAAAAGTATGACAGTACTACCTCATCGTTTTGCAATGCATTACACACAGGGAACACAATAGCGATATATTATACAGTACAATAAAACCTGTACATTCCGTACAGCCGCTACTATTATTACTACTACTATTACTACTACTTTGTCCGGTTAATGTCGGAGCAGTTCTCCTGCCATTGCTACCCTCTTGGTAGGGTAGCGCAAGATCGTGGATCTCGGAGCTTACACACAGACCATAGATTTTAATTTGAAATTGCTACATGCTTCGCTTGTATCATAAATCAGAATCCATTCACGCTAGTCAAACACATGTACATTCGACGTTTTGTTTCTTCGCTACAATCATTCCCGTCCCACGAAGTTCATTCGTCCGAGAAGCTCCGGGATCTTCGATTCGCGCACGTGATGTCTATACGTAAAATAGGTCCATTTCCTTTTCGTTTTGTTGTCGCGAAGGGCGCATTATTGAAATAACACAACATGTATGTACAACTGTGAAACCGTAGTGAGTGAGCGCGAAAGCGAGCGAGTGCGTACACATATGCATAAGCAGTCGTGAATGCGCGAGCGAAGCGATTCGCGGGAAGGAGGAAGAGCCGCAATTATGCGTCGTGATCCGTTGTCGAAATTGCAACGCGAAATCATCCGACGTGTCGTCGGACGTTGCTGAAGCGGTCGCGACTGGTTGCACCGTTTTCGTCCCGGGGATGAAGCGAAAGAGGTGATAATACAGAATGGTGTTGATCATCGAATAGATCGGTGAGATTAGCGCCGATGTGCTGATGAAGGAGGTGGTGGAGGAAAGCGAAAATTATTCGAGCGTAGGTGACATCGATTGTCCCGAGGGAGCGTAAAGGGAAGTTAATCGTCGGGGATGGGATTAATGATGCTGGACGACGGAGATTACATAGTCATAGAGAAGTTAATTCCCGGGGGAGAAGCCGCGGGAAAAGGATATTCAAAGATGTTATGTGTCGTTTACGTATGTGATGATAGGAACATACACACACGCGCACACACGTACATACACGTACACAGAGAGATAGGGAGAGAGAGGAGGAGAGAGAGAGTTATGGGAGAAACATACGTACATACGCACGTGGACAGCACACATGCTCGTGTAAATAGATATACGGTCGCGTATGCCAAGTTATATAATGAATCTTTTACTTAATATATATACAAAATATATATATTGTTTTCGGCTGTTCTGCTAAGCAGAGGCAAAGGCGGGAGGGGGGAAGGATACCTTTAAGTGGTACAATGAATTAGCGTTAAGTTTAAGTAGAGGGATCGGAGTTATTTGGCAGAGTGGAGCGGCGAAATTCGAAAGTTAGAATAATAACGTCAGACGCGGAATTTCCGGAGGAGAGGGAGTTGGTTAAACCCAGGGTTTAATTGTTTTGTCATACGTAAGGATTAGGAGTGCATACGTAGTAAAGGTATTTCACACCCGACACTTACACGAAATACACACGTACACGTACAGCAGATCGAGAAGAGCGAGAGGCAATGTTGATCGAGGAAATTATAAGAGAAAAGTAAAGAACACACGTACCTTAAAAAAATAAACGACGTAGAATTAAAGTGAAAATTTAGAATTAATTATAGTCGTAATATTATCTCGACATCGATTAGGCGCGTAAATGGACGAAAATTTTTATTATTTGGAACGGCCGAAAATCGGCAATTTGACTCAAATCGATTATGAATCGTCATTGATTTCATCGTATCGCTTTGCTCAAAAATAATCGAATGATTCTTCAACGCGCTGTCGAAACGAAATTACGATATTTTTATTGTTTACTTTTTCCTCTCGATTCTCCCCGAATTCGTCAGTTCCGAGCATCTCCGGCTCGAGGATGATATTCCAAATTCGCTGCTACAGTCGATTTTCGTCGAGGTACGCAAGAGACGGGCTCGCGATCGGAAGTCGAAAATGCGCGAAACGAAACGCGCGCGCTTTCAGTTTCCAAGTTTTCGCGATCCGTCGTACCATGGTACAAAAGTATAAGGTATTCCATTCCCAAAGATGCGCAGTCGTCTTGAACACGGCGGCTACTCTTTGACCAATCAAAGCGTTACCCTAAATTTGGGGCAAGCATTTGGTTGATTGTTCTGATTTAGTCCGCTGGCCATTATGCGCAATGAAATACCTTATATTCTTATACCAGATGCGTCGTACATCCGGTGTAAGAATTATATTTGGTCTATATGTATATATATGTACACGCTGAAATACACACACGTACACATAGACAGACACGTACACACGTACACGACACGCGCGCATACGTACGCGTATGTATGTACCATTATTGTATCACGGCGGTAGGATAAAATGTTGCATGTTGTTTCTATAATATGTGTTTTACGGATTGAGAATCCTTTATAGATGTCGTGTGTGACACAAGGCTTGACACGAGAGACGAGAGATGTTCACACCGTGGCTCGCTCGTGCGCGCACGTTTTCGAAGAGCAACGCGAACGCAATCGTGCGAGAAAGCCGGATAATCGGAGTAAAGAAAGAAATTTGCGAGCAATTTAAAATTTCCAGAAGATGGTACTCATTTCTAAATTGATCTTCGGAATTATGTAAGATGTGATGACACAAACATTCCACGAGAAAAAAGTCTCGTTTTTCGATCTAATTCTTTCGGTCAAAGATTCGAACGTTATTAAAAATTGCATCGAATTGGGAAAATTGTCGTTAAATTAATCATATTGTACTACAATGATTCGACTGCGATATTCGAAGCTGCACGCTCGAGCACGTCGAAATGGACGATTGTCACGGTGTGAACGGGAAACCTTCATTATCATTCGCATCGCGCGGGCAGCGAGCTCCAGGACAGACAAAGAAAAAGGAAATCGCGGCTGCCCGCGGGAGGAGAGTGAGAGAGCAAAATTGATGTCATCATTGCACCTACACCGCGCGCAGAGAGTGCACCGGCAACTACTATACCGTTTGCTCGTATAGTATATAATAGTACTATACCGTAGTTGATAATGATTACATAATACATGTATCACGCACGCATAAGCATATTTAAAAATCGACGGAGCAATGAAAGAAAGAAAAAAAAAAGAAAAAAAAAGCAAAAGGAAGATACGGCAGAGGGGGGCGACAAAAAGAGGATTGAAGGAGACGATGAAGAGGAAGCGGACACATGGCGTAGCGATGTCGCAAAGCGGGACCTCGAACGTCCGGGGAACGAGCGGCTCGTTTTCCCGGCCGCAACTTATAGTACAAAGTAAACGTAATGTTTAAGAGTTAACAAACAGAACAGACAGGATGTGTGAATTTTGTAAACTTACTATACACGCTGTAGAGAGAGAGAGAGAGAGAAAAAAAAGAATTATATAGGTAAACGCACATAGAGAAAGAAGAGAGAGCAAAAACCAAGTGCGCCGCGTGGCCAAATGCGTCGGTGACGAGCTCGTCGTCGAGGACCGCGTTCCGCGCGATCGGCCTCCGCTCACGGAGTCCAACGCGATCACGATGAACGATTTCGCCGTATCCTTGTATACCTCAACGTCGACATGGGCCCGTTCGTAACGTCGCGGTCGAGTTAAAACGTTAATGCGTCGACGGCGAACCGTTTCGCCGCGACGCCCGGAGAATCCGTGTCGTACTCTCGAGGCGCGACGTGGAGACGACGGGACGTCGCGCGCCGAGCCTATTTCGCGTCCCCCGTTCCTTATCTTATCAACACAATAAGACTGATCTCTCATCGTGACGACGTATGCGAGAACACTGCCACAGAGGCCGGGCCGGGACCTCCGCTAGCCTCGTCGCCGATTGCGTTCGAATAACGGCCCGCGGCCGCCGCAATAATGGATCACAATACTTCGTCACACACTAGTACAAATGCTACCTCACACACGACATACAGGGTGCGCATAGAATGAAGCTTATGAAAAAAAAAAAAATCTGTGTATAACATGGTAAAGCGATAGTTTGCAAGATCGGATAGGATTGTCGCGTCGCGCCGCCGTCGTCGCCGTCGCTTTCATTTCGGCGAGAAAAGGGAATAAGAGGGAAGATTGTGAAAAAAAAAATAGTAAAAAGCAGCTGTCAATGATCGGGCAAGCACCCTTCCGCTCCCGGAAAATGTCGACACGGCGTAAGGCGCGCCGCGAATCCTTTTCTCTCAGGAATATGAAAACCAAGTACAAACTACAAAGTATAATAGTCTATAAGGTTCTTAATAAACATAAATCAATGAATCAAGCGATGCAATAGTCGAGTGTATAGTAGGGACTGTGTCGGTGTGTTCGTTCGTTAAAAGATCTCTTCTCTCCGATGTATATCGCCAGAAGTCAAACGCTTTGTTGATTCACAACCGCGAATCCTTGATCGTTCGCCATGGAAATCAGTCTAGGAATGTGTGACCTCCGAATCGATTCGCTAAAAATCGATTTTTGCAAAAGATAGGGTCGAAACCGATCTCTCTTTGGTAAAAAAAGAAGTGATTCTTCACAAAAGATCGGTCTAGAATGGTCCCTTTTGCTTAGAAAAACCGATTTTTCACAAAAGATCAGTTAAAAATAATTTTTCGTTTGGGAGGTCGATCTTTTTAGAGGATCGGAACATTCCTAGAAATCACTATCGGACTTATCGCCGATTTCTCTCTCGCGATTTTTCCGCATGATCAATCGCTCTGCGCGCGTCGAGAGACGCGCAGTTACGCATAACATTATAACAGGCATATATACGGTGACCATCTACGTCCTTTATTGTAAAGGACAGTCCTTTATTTTAGATAGCTTTCCTTTAGATTTATTTGTTTCTTCAAAACTCAATTTTGTCCTTTATTTTGACATTACGGGAAATTCTTTTCTAATTAGCGTTCCAATATCTAATATTATATTAATGAGCAAATTTTTACAGAAAATATTTTGCAGTTTCATATAAATATCATTTGTTTTTGTTAATTGTATTTCTCAATTTTTTAAATTAAATTTATTCAAACTAGAGTTGTTTTCATTTTTTATTATTTTATTATTTCATTTTATTGTTTTAGATCAAGTCAAACCAATTTCAAACTATCAGAAAACTGCACATTATCTCAATTTGATTATACTTTGCAATAAAATTTTATAATGCACAGAATTCTTGATAGTCACAAACTGATTTGAATAAAGCCCTAAAATTTTCAGATTTGTCCTTTATTTTCTTTAAAAAAAATATGGTCACCGTAGACATATAGCAAGTCCACGCGCTTCTCTCGAGTTCTTTACGCGAATCCTTCTCCCGTATATTAAACCGCGTGCAAATGTTTTCGTTGCTATAATATATATATATATATATATATATACATAAGTCAGAAATGTAGAAAAACATAAGGCAGTAAAAAAAAAGCGTAAATAGTAAGCAAATCAGCCAATCACAGTAAAAAAATGTAAGATTATTGTTTTACGTTCTCTATTGTGATTTGCTAATTTGTTTATTGCTTACGTCTTACTGCTTTACGTTTTATGTTTCTGGCTTTATTTTTCGTTGACTCTTGTTTCTCGTCCAGCGATGTTAATTGTCTCCTTTCGTAGCAGCGGCACATCGTCGATTAATCATTTCTGTTTGGCCAAACGAAGCATGTCATTTATATCCCACCGAGTTTATGTTTCCTTTTCTTTAATATATGCATATAAAGTAATATGGTTACTTAAAAAAAAAAACGTAATAATAATGAAAGGAAATTCCGTACAACATAGACGCAAATTAGAGCTTCACTTTGCTTTCCGTTTCGTCTCGGTGGACGCGAGAATCACCGTCAGCAAAATCCCTTCCTTCTCTGATATTAATTACCGCCGTTTTTTCTTTATCATTTTATTTTGTTTCCACGTCGCCAAGTCGGCGGAAAAACGCGAGTTTTTTTGAGTTGTTAGACGCGAATTGTTTACCTAGTACTCGGAGAATACCGATAGATCAGACTTCACCAGTGCTTACATACACATAAATAAACAAACGCACACAATCATATAATATATTGATAAGTATACGAAACCGCTTCTACCTCAGACTCCGTATCTATGTTATATATATATCTATATATATCAATATATATATAGTTACGCGCATTACCTACGGTTCCTCCGGTTTCTCTGTTTCCGCGAAGTATTATTTTCGTTCTTCGTTTTCTCCATCATCGCCGCATATTTACGCCGAGGTGAAGTCGTAGGTATGCCGGCATCACAAAGTAGACAGCACGAGATTTATACATAAATATACATATATATATATATACATATATATTTGAAGAAAGAGAGAAATAGAGAAGGGAATATATATATAAATATATATATATATACATATATATTTGAAGAAAGAGAGAAATAGAGAAGGGAATATATATATAAATATATATATATATATAAATACATATAAATAGATAGTTATATATCTAATATTAAGGAATACTTGTTTAGATCTTAAGTGATCCCCGTCGTCGTGGTCCCGCGATGCGACTGCAACACTCTTCGAGAGCTGAAGCAAACTCTACCTATAATAAAGCAAAAACGAAAACGAAAACGAAAAAAAAGACGACAAAGAGAAAAAA